CCCGCCCGGAGCCGCCGCCTGAGTTACGCAGCCTCAACCCTGACACCTTCCCTGCTTCTTTCCATCTGGATCACCTGGGGCTAGGGGCGGGCGGGAGTAGGGCTGAACATAAGTGAGATAGAGGAAAAGGGGGGAAGAATCGAAGCAGTCCCAGTTGCAGAGAGCCACGACGCCAGTGGCAAGACCCCGGCCACACACACACTCTCCTGCGCGTCCTGCTCCTCGGGTTCAGTGCCAAGTGGCGACAGGGTGGAAGGAAGAAAAGAGAGGTAGGGTGTCAGGAAGGCCCAGAGTTACTGGGAACGACATTCGGAGGAGAGCAGGGGATGCTTCAGAAACTGAGAAAGTGAGAAAGTCCCAGATCCCCTCCTTAGCCCCAAGGCTGCCAGGAGCCCGGGTCGCCTTCCCTGCAGCAAGGCTCAGGAGACAGGGAGGGGAGTCTGAGCAAAGCTTCCCCCAGGCTGCCCTCCCTGATCTGGCCCAGGGCCCAGAACCCGGCCCCTCTTCAGCCCCGACTTGGGGAGGCTGCCAGATAGGCAGCGGACTTGCCAAAGGACTCTGGGGAAGCAAGAGGGCAGGAGAGGAGCATCTTGCACGCTCCGGCCGGGCTGCTCACGACTTCCTCTGCCGACACACCCCCAGCTAACCCCCTCCCCCGTCGTCACACACACAGATTCAGAGAGAGACACGCGTGCGTTCACCCTTCCCACCAGCCCAGGTCCATCGATTAAAACACTAGTTGATTTCTTCCTGATTAAAAAAAAAAAAAAAAATTAAAAAGTGCAACAACAACTCCTCTCAGGAGTATCCGGAGCAAAGAAAGTCCGTCTGCAGGCGCCTTTTCTGTAGTTTCCCAGGAGTTTGGAAATCTGGCGGTCCCTGCCGAAAATGGGAAGGGGACCCCGCAGGGGTCGAAGGGCGCCGAACTCCCTCCCCACCCCCGCGCCTCTCACCTCCTTAAGTTCCTTGGCTACGTCCTTCAGGTCGCCCAGGACTAATTCCAGATCTTCTACGATGATCTTGATCTGTTCCTTCACCTTGGTTTTGGAGGCTGCCGGCGGTCCCTCGGCTGGACAGGACGAGGAGGGTTTCCCCTTAGACTTGGCTGACATTCTTTGGGGGCAAGCGAGGCAGGTCAGGACAGGCGAGCGAGCGGAGGCTGCTGCGTGCCCCCGTCCCTGGCGCTGCTAGAGCCCGTGCTGCCCGCCACCCGAGGCCGCCTCACTGAGCCCGGAGCTGCGCTGGCGGAACAGAAAGTCGCGCGTTGAGTTGAAGGCGGCAGAGGCAGCGCCGCCGTAGCTGGGCACCTGGCTGGCGTGGTGATGATGGTGGTGGTGGTGGTGATGGTGGCCCAGGGCGTTGGCGTAGCCCGAACCCTGCGGCGTGAAAGCCGAGCTCTGGCCTGAAGATAGATCGTGCGCCGCGGCAGGGCTCAGCTTGAAGGCAGCGGCGGCGGCTGCGGCGGCGGCGTGGGTTGTGTCCCCGAAGGGATTCAGCCCCATGCCTGCCGGCTCACGGTTGGGCATCTCGTGGTGGCGCGGCGCGCCGAAGCTGCCCACTCCCAGCCCAGGGAACTGCGGGCCTCCGTCCAGGAGCATCGTCATGGGTGGGACGTTCTGGGCACAGGCGATCCGGCCGAAGTGAGAGAGGGTATCGGCGAAGGAGGAGATCTCCGAAGTGCCGTAGTCGGAAAGGGGTGGCGGCGGTTGGACACTGCCGGGAGACCCCCAAGGCGCTACCAGGGGCTGCAACTTTCCGTCACTGCGAGAGTCTCCTGCAGAGGGGTAGGAGGGAGGAGGGGAAGAAAGAGCAGGGAGGGGGTGTTGGAGGGGGGGAGGAGGGAGGAGAAAAGACTCTGGGACTAGATCTGGTTTAACAAACTAACAGGCGCGCACAAAGAAAAATAAGCAAAATAGTAAGTGGAGGGCGGAGTTTGCCAATCCTGTCCCGGGCACCCCTCCTCTCTCCGAGTGCACAGAACCGCAGGGCCAGGAGGCTCCCTGGGTACCGGCCTCTGGGCTGGGCTGCGCCTAGTGGCGGAACCGGCTAGCGGCCCGCCGGCGGGC